AGCACTAGCCATGCGGAACCAAATCTTCTAGCTCACGACTCTCTGTCTACTCCGATGGTAACACAGATAGCAGTGACATTATTTTAGCTACTGTGGTGGTGATCGTGGTAGTAGTTGTACTGGTACTTGAAGGATAATGTGGTAAATATTGCACTAGCCCCATTCACTACCTATTGAAATTGCTGCTCCCCATTTTAGTCCAGATGGACAGGGATGTCAATGTCAGTTACAGCAACAGCAAAATATCGCCAGGTAGTGATTTTCAAATCCTTCGAAGAGGGAGAGAGCAGTAGTCGGTGGAAGAGGGGAGGGGGTAATGATTTAAATTTAAGAGAGCTTAAAGAGATTTACACGTGATTTTCAAGCTCTCATTACCTAATTTGTTTATATTTTACTAACACTACCTCCGCTTTTCTATTTTTTACAACTTAGTTTGTTATTCACAAGTACAGTTGTAGCTTTACTTCCGTCCCCTATAAAAATACAAGCAGCTTTAGCATGTGATAACCAAATAACCATTTTTGTTACTGTGCTAATAACACCATTTAAACGACCACTGATATAAAGACACAATTATAAGGTGCGTGTTCTAAAGTTGGAAAACCAGACTATCTCTATAACTGTGCAGAGAATGATTTCGACATTAACTATATTGGACACGTGCGATTTCCATTGTCTTTCTTTTCAAAAAATCTTTGATGAGGGAGAGAGTAGTAGGTGGATTAAGTTGTGGTGGTGGTGGGGGTGGGGAGGGGGGGGGGGGGGATCAAAGACTATCTCTATATCTGAGCAGACAATGATTGTATTAGACACGTGCGATTTCTATTTTCTTTCATTTCTATTTAGCCAAACTATGCCACAGCAACGCGTGGCCGGGTACAGCTAGTCACATATAAAAACATCAAATCAAATGGTTTGCCCACTTGGAGAGAATGTTTTATGACGTATATATGTATGTAAGTTGTACCCCACCAGGACATCGCGTAAAGCGATAAACACCCGGTGACACAAAGTGCCACCATGCGAATGAGGATCACCCGCGGAGAGGTCCCTGAAACCCCGTTAAGCCGTTAGGCCATATTTAGGGCCGGGCTATATTTAGGGCCCCCGGCAAAAGCCTGGGTGGGGCTTCAAATAACGAAAAATTGCATCGCACATGGGGACGGCATAGATGAATACAGCTTTATGACGCCATATCCTACAAGGCAAACACCAAAAGAGGAGAACGGCCTAGAGAACAAAACTGAGCAATAACAATATGAAAAGATAACATCAGAGAAACTCTACAAAAGCACGATGTGTTTATTGCCGAGACGGCCAGAAAAGCAAGGAGCAGAACTTTATAGCTCCATCAAATCTTCAGAAGTAGAAGATGAAGTGAAAAAGAAAAGAGGAAGATAAATCGTAGATAAATATAATAATATATTTAACATAACAAAGAAAACTGCTGATAGAGACGTCTGGCGATCTCACTGGCGCAAACCTTTACCCCCCTAGGTAGAAGAGGAGCGACTAAATAAGTAAATAAGAATTTAAAATAACATAACTTATGTTACTAATGATAGTAAGAGGTGGGTGTACTTTAGGGCTCTAGCTTCCTTAATACCTTTTCTATGGGCGAGAATGCAAAGCCCTCCATCTTTTCGAGTTCCAAGAAGTGCGTCTAGGGGCTGCGTGGTCTGAAAGCAAGATGTCCGGTAACGGCAGGAATTTTTTCATCCTGACTTGACTTCTAGTTATTCCCCCTTGTCCCTGGGTCGTGAGATAGAATGCCTGTGTGCATTGTTGCGCTCGTAAAAAGTCCCTTGGCAGTTGGAAAACGGAAAGAGTAAGTAGCTTTACTGCGCTGCCTGGGCAAAGTTTGAAGTTGAAAATCTACCCAAAGTATTTTAGGATTCTTGCCGGTGCTACAGAGCCTGTGCACTGGGCTGAGCTTATTCGGACTCGGACTTGAGTTAGAAGAAGAACAGAGCACTTATGGGTTACACCCTTGTGCCATAGTGTTGATCCGTTGTTGAAAACCTCATAAAACAACTTCAAAGTAGCCAGACTTCCACGGATTTGATGCCTCCGATTGTAAGTGACTGAGCCAGCTTTCACCTGGCACAATCCACGTCTGTTAATTGCTTCTTTCACAAAAACGTACCTTCTTACCTGTTCTGTTACAACATCCCGCCTGACGAGTTTTGTCGACCCCGTCACTATGGCAACCCAAGTCTAGCTGCCATGGTTTTTTTCCCCCCAAAGAATAAATGAAAGCGTTAGGCGGGAGACGGGAAGAGAGAAGAGGCGGGAAGAGAGAAGAGGCGGGAAGTGAGAAAAGGCGGAAAGAGGGAAGCGACGGGTGAAAACCAAGGTTGCCCAGGGTTTGAATATTTGTTTACCAAATGATGCATTCCAACATGGCGGTTGTGGTGAATCCTTCTTCTTATCGTTTGCGAGTTGTAAACTATAGCGGAGAACTGCGGTTGTTCGTCCACTTTTGGACCCTAGCCTTGTTCCAGATTTTGAATTTTGCATGTAAATCTGTTTAATAATAGATCTGCCTTATTTGTATGCAGACTGTAGGTTCCCTGCCTCTCAGGCGGATGCGCTCCTACTTCGAAGGAAAAATACTAATGATTAGCCTTTCGCGACATGCTTAGAAGCAGTGGGTCTTCTTTCTCTCCACCCACCCCACACCCGAAATGGAAAACCGAAACCACACGCGGATGTTGTACATTAGTACCTCCGATCACGAACTTAATTTGTTTGTTAACTTCATCCGTAAACCATACTGTTCGTTAGCTGAAACAAATTTTTTTTAATGAAATCAATACAAACACAATTAATCTGTTTGCCAGCCCCAGAAACATCTTTATTTATTTTTATTTATTTTTTAACATGTTAATGGATTTATATGTGACAGAAAATATAGAACAAACAGTATAAGTAATGCAGAGTGCGAACCTGAGTACCACTGATACGGTTAGTTATTCGAAAACATGGCACTAAAGCCATGTTTATGAGTTCGAGTCAAAATGTGTTCGTAAATTGTGTTCGTAGGCCGATTCGTTCGTTACTAGAGGCGATCGTGATCCGAGGTACCGGGGTCTGTATTATATAGTACAAAATAACGAAAACGTGGTCACGCCAGAGTCGTACCGGGGCATGTGATTGCTATACTCATATTTTATAGACGTATCGATACTCGGCTGCTTTTACTTTTACGATACCTGTTTGTTTTTAACCCCCAAAAGAAGACAAATCCGTCAACTTAGCGAGGATTCGAACTTGGATAGGGTGACCGTACGTTCCATTTTGACCGGAATAGTCCAATATTTTAGGTGTGTCCCGGCCGTCCAATCGGTGCTCCTTAACAGTCTAGAAAAGAACGTACACCTATAGCTGTATCTGTAGATCTTATAAGATTTAATAGTTTCAGATCTTGGGTTTAGTCATTTTTGCATGTCTTTTTTACCCTCCCTTTTTTCAGTGCACTTGAAAAGCGTATTGTTTCTATTATTCCTTGCCGACACTGGTTTGGATTGTTATACTCCTGTTGAGCGGGTGATTAACCCTTTCATCCAAGCGACCTAGAGAAAAATGTGAATTGGATTGAACAGACTTGTGGGATGTCCCGTTTTCAGCTTAAAGTATTAGTGGGACGTCCCGTTTTCAACTCAAAGTATTAGTGGGATGTCCCGTTTTCAACTCGAAGTATTAGTAGGACGTCCCATTTTTAGCTCAAATTATTAGTTTGACGTCCCGTTTTCAGCTCAAAATGATATGGTCACTCTAAACCTGGCTTCCCAAATGTGATCTCAAAGTTGTGTAACAGATCGATTCTGTTTAGAATTTCCTTCTTTTAAAAAAGCTAGTGGCATATTCTGTTTAGAACGTGGCACAGCAAACAATCAATAAATCAATCGATCAACATGTTCCTTACAGAGAGTCCCTCTCTTCACGGCACGCCTGCTCCCTTTTCGACATTAAATTTAATTACAGAATATCCTCGTGTGGGTTTCGTGGCCCCATTGTTTCCAAACCAAAAATAGATCCACTGCCTTCCCAAAAGCATGTCGTAAGAGTCGACTAATTGGAAGCCTTCTTCGAAGTCGAAGAGCATTTGCCTGAGAGGTAAGTAACCAATAATCTGCACACAAATGATTCAGGTCTGTGAAATGAAAGTGCACGCAACACTCAGGTTCTGGAACCGGACTAGAGTCCAGAAGTTGACTAACAACCAAAACTTGCCTCTGGAGTTTACGGCCGGTGATAAAGAAGAAAACTTCCAGAATAATCTCTACTGTATAATTGTCACCTGATTTCCTGTAGCGCAGCTTTTATTCTTATCCTATTTCCGCATAAAAATGTCTTATGTTTTATCCGTTATCCCGTCCTAATTTCAGTCTTTGGCTGCGATTAAACAGGCATTCTGTTGTAGTCTTAGAACCAAATACCAAAACTGAAGCTTAAATTATGCTCTAGAAAACGAGGAGATTGAGGAGAAGAGGGGTGGTGGGGGGGGGGGGTTATTACAAGGGAACCCTTCCCAGTCACCCCATTCAGACCCTCTAGTTTCGGAGTTGCTATTTCTTGTCTGCGGCCTAAAGGTCTCGAGTTTGAATCTGGATCAATGTGAATTGTTGAAGATAATATAACTAGCTCACATGCGCTCAGCCTGAGAACCTCACTGTCCTGTTGTAGCATTATATGTTGGCATGTCGACTCTACGTCAGTTACTGAAGAAGGAGACGGAGCACGTGTAGGAATGTCCCGAGTACAGTGATGTCAATTCGTGGACCATTCACTCATTCAGTTCAATAGTTGTATTTTCCTTTCCAGTTGGGATATTAACGTCCACGTTTCACAACCGTATTGTACTAACTTTTTAAAAATCCCCGCCTCTGATTCTCCTCAGACATCGCCGACGCCTGGAACGAGAACGTTACTTCACCCAGGCTGTTGATCCATCAGCACTTTCGTCTCCCAGTCCTCCCCGAACACAAGAAAACAAGATGTCTACCACAGCGGCGGGAAACAAGCTGGCCCAGGAGATCCACGATGAGTTTCTGACCTGCAAGATCTGTCTAGAAGGTGAGTGCCGATTGGTCACTTTTTTTTAACCTCAAGACTTATCTAGTTGATGAGTGCTGATTGGTCAGTTCTTGATTTCAAGACTTATATAGTTGGTGAGTGCTGATTGGTCAGCTCTTGATCTCAAGACTTATCCAGATGGTAAGTGCTATTTGGTCAGTTCTTGACCTGCAATATTTGTCAGGAAGGTGATCGCTGCTGTGTCAGTTTTGGACCTGCTATATTTATCTAGAAGATAATCAATAATTCGTCATTGCTTGGTCTGCAGGGTTTGTCTTTAACTGATCAATACTTGGTCTGCAGGGTTTGTCTTTAATTGATCAATACTTGGTCTGCAGGGTTTGTCTTTAATTGATCAATACTTGGTCTGCAGGGTTTGTCTTTAATTGATCAGTGCTTGGTCTGCAGGGTTTGTCTTTAATTGATCAATACTTGGTCTGCAAAATCTTTCTAGAAAGTGAGTGCTGATTGGTCAGCAGTAATTCTGCAATATTTTTGTAAAAGATGCGAGCTTATTGACCAGTTTTTAACTGTCTGATTGGTCAGTTCTGGACATGAAAGATTTGATTAGAAGGGCAGTAGTGATTGGTCAGTTCATGACCTGCAAGATAAACCTGCAAGATTAATCTTGAAGACACCATACGCCATATCTTCTATTAAATTAGACATATTTTTTTTATTTTGTGTTCGTGTGAACACCCTAGAAATATATATATATTGTATATATATATATATATATATATATATATATTATCTAGGGTGTTACACGAATACAAAAAAATATATATATATTTAAACAAACCCAGCTGTTAGCTAATTAAAAATTATATCCATTTTTATAGGCTTCAAATCACCCAAGTGCCTCGACTGCTTGCATACGTTTTGTGAACAGTGCATCGATAACCACGTACTCAATGAATGCTCTTACAAAAAGGTAAATATTTGTTTGGGATGGTCGGATTTAAGACGGACCTGCGTACCCAGTTTGTAATCTTTTGAAAATAAAGTTCGTTCATTTGTTCTGTTGCCTCCTTTCCTGCTTCAGTACATTTTTTTTAATCAGCCTATCACTCGTCCTGCTCAGTTAGCTGACTGTACTGTTCACACACAAAATATGCGCTTTTTTATTACTCGCTTAAAAACTATCGAAGACCCAGGTGCAAAATAACTCAATTAATACTATACGGTGTTTTTGAGTCTAATTTTAAACAGTTTCACTTTTTAAATCACAAAGATTTTGAGAGGCAAAATTATGACAATATTAGGTTCCTTTCGGTATCTCAGAGTGTTTTTTTTTTTTTTTTGGTCCTATGTTAAATGTTGAATTAGAAATCGACAGCACAGCCCTCGGGACACCCCACATTAACGCTTCGTCTCCATCTTCAGCAGCAAGCGAGGAGTTCCAATTACGATGGCACCAGTAATTGTATGATTGTATATACGTCTCGCCTTTTCCTTTTAATAATACAGCTAACAACAGGGTGGAGGACAAGCGGTCTGACTCGGAAAGAAGCATTAAGCCCAGATAAAAAAATGAAGTCATAAAAGTGACGCAAATAACCCAGACCACAAATATAGGCGGAGACTGTTAGCAGCCTCGGCTAGCTAGCAGTAGTCTGAAAGTGGTCGACCTTTTAATTTTTTTTCTTAAAGATAATCGGAAACGGAAACTTTTAGTAATAAAACACCATCGGATAACTATCTACTTGGCTTCTTAACACCCCCCCCCCCCCCCCCCCATTTTTTTTTTTTCAAACAGTATAATTGAACGATCATTAGTCTCCTTGTGTTTTCTTTCTGCTAATTTAGCATATGTTTATTCGCATCATAATCAGTTAAGCCTAACCACTACTTTGAGAATAGCCATGGCGGAGCGGCTTGACATTCGCCGCGGAGCCGGACTTTTTTCAACAATGACCTTGGCTCCCAGGTCGACTCACCCTTGAGTTGGTACCGGGTGCAGTCCCGGGAAGTAAAGGCGGCCGGCGTGATGCTGACCACGTTATCCATCTTGTGCCGATTGGTCTATAAAACATAGGTCTAGCCCTATATGCCCTGTACGCCTAAAGGCGTAGAAATGGGACTTTTACTTTACTAACCACTACTTTGATTTAAACCCTCACCCAGTACTCTGACTACCGAGAGTTTACCTGCCCGCTGTGCCGGAAAAGAACCCAGCTCCCCCTGGGCGGGGTAAAGAAGCTGCCCGACAACTTCCTTGTGTCCAGCCTGGGCGAGGTGGTGGCCCGACAGAAACCCAGCCAGTACCCCTTCTGTGACATCTGTAAGCTGGTCAGTCGCAAACATAAGGAGGCAGTCAGCAAATGTATTGACTGCAATAAACAGTTGTGTAAACAGTGTGTCGACATGCACAAGGAGACAAAGGTATGTTGTTTGTGGTTTAATTTTTGTTTTTTTGTTTTGGGTATCTGAAGTTCTTCTTTCTATTATCATCACTGTTGTGTTGTTCCTTTTTTTTTAAGTGTTACCTAAGGGGGCTGCGTGGTCTCAAGGCATGGTGTCCGCCTCGAGTGCTAGAAGTTCCGGTTTCAATCGCCCTTAACGGCTGGGATTTTTTTTTTTTTTTTTTTTTTGCACGTAGTACGATTTCTAGTAATTCCCCCTGGTCTCTGGGTAGTGAGATCAGACGCCCGTGTGCATTGTTGCTCACGTAAATAAAATCCCTTGGTAGTTGGACATCGAAAAGAGTAACATAACTGCGCTGCACTGGCAAAATTTTGAGTTAAAAATCTACCCAAAGTATTTCAGGATCCTCGCCGGTGCTACAGAGACTGCACTGTGCTGAGCTTCTTCGAACTTAGACTTGAGTTGGAAGAACAACGGAGTACTTATGGGTGACTACCCGTGTACCGTGATGTTGATCCGTTGTTCAACTCCCCCGCCCCCTTTCCATCCTCCCCACCCCTAAAAAAACATACTGGGAAGCACACGAGACAGAAGGTTGTGGCTAGACACGACTACCAACGTCACGCGGCGTGGACTTTAAGAAAAAGACTATCATAGTCAGGGTACGGACTTATGCAACCCACCTCCAACATATAACTTCTCACGGTGAGGCTTTACGGCAATACGATAAAAAATTAACTTTCTTCGTTTCTTTCGGTATATGTTTTTGAATGTTTGCCTGAACATTTCTTTCAACAGGTGACCCAGAACCACAGTCTCTTTGACGTGGAGATAGAGAAGGACATTGAGTGTAAGGAGCACCAGAACGAGGTGGTGCGGTTCTATTGTGAGCCATGCGAGACGTGCATATGTGTGCTGTGTACTTTTAACGAACATAAGGTCAGTAACATAAGTGATGCCTGGGGAACAGGATGCCATAGTGATCTCACACCTCAATAAATATCTTGAAAATTCCTACAAGGATTAAACAGAAAATACACTTTGCTTGGAAACACTTACCTTGGAGAATAGAAGACAGTGTAGCTATAATTACGAACTTAATCTCAAACACTGTAAATCAACATGGTATGTGTTGTGAGGTCCTACATCGACCCAGTCTAAAATGTGTAACGGGCAACGTCATGGGAAGTAAAAGTGACTATTATACTACGGATTGCTCTATTAAATTTTATGACTCTAGTATGTTTAAAAAATTCTGCTCAAATTTTACATTCTGTAACTCAGCAATCAATTCGTAATTCTGTGTGTTCAATTCTCTAATATAAGAACATTGCTCTATACAATATCTGTGTGGATCTCTTCAGTTCTTCAATGCACATGTCACTGTGTAGAAGCACTTTTTTTTTTACAACAAGGGCAAATATTTATAAATTCACATCATCATCATCATGTGTCCTGCCAACTGAAGTAGGTGCTCGTGCGTCTCCACAGATCATGATCCCTGAACAGCTCTCTTGATGATATCCCTCCATGCCATCGTTTCAGCCCATCCAGCATCATCTCTCTTGGTCTGCCTCTACCCCTTTTTTCCTCTGATCTTTCTAATTGTCACGATGTTCTCCAATGTCTCTCTTCTCATTACGTGGCTAAAGAACAGTGTTTGTCTCTTTCTTATTGTTGTATATATAGATCTACTTTCATTAGCTTCTTTTAAACACTCGTTGTTAGTTACTCTGGCCGTCCAATGTATTCGTAACATTCGTCTCAGAAACATTTTTGTTGCTTTCAAATTGTTTCTAATTTCTTCAGTGACATTCCAAGATTCGCTGCCATACAGCAGAACAGGTTCTGTGTAACATTTTAGCACCCTCTTTATAAGTTTACATACGAGGGTTATTTCAGTCTATGAATTGTCTACACCAATACCTAACAGATCTGTCAATCATAACAATATCACCGTGTGCTGATGTTAGGTAAGCTAAAAGATTACTGAATGATGCAAGCAGTGAACGGTGTCACTTTATCAAAAGTTTTTTTTTTCCCCAGCTAGTCGGCTGTTGATTTTGGTGTAGCCCTCGAAATACTGTCCTTTTTTTTTAACAACAAGAGGCATTGTATCAAATTTGTATGGGTGTGTTGCAGGAACACGAAATATCCCAGTTCAACGATGCCGTCAGCAAGTACAAGGACACAATCCAACAGCTTCTGGGCAACTGCAAAGGAAAGATTGACGTCTACGACATGCAGCTAGCGTTGCTGAACAAGTGTGAAGGCTTTATTAAGGTCAGTCAAACAGTCAGTCAGTCAGTCAGTCAGTCAGGCAGTTAGTAGCATGTCCTTGCAGAACCTTGCTTCCACAACAACCCTCCGGAAAACTTCTTGATCACAAGCAAGATGTCTCGCGACGAATACACCCATCTGAAGATCATCCGCCTCATCCTGCACCCATCTTCTCTTTGGCCTTTCTTTTCCTCTCTTCCCAGGTGTATACCCTTAAATTATTGTTCTCTCTAAACTTTCGTGAATTTTCCATTTACCAAAACATTTCAATTGTCTGTTTTATGTTTTCTTACATGGCTGTTATGGTTTCTGGGCCAGCTTTGTAGATGGTAGTTTGCCTGTTAAGCTACATTACCTATCTAGATCATAAAATTCGAAAGCCAAAGTTGCTGTGCCGGGAATCTAGCCCGACACTCCCACATTGTGTTTCTTGTGAGACCTCCTATCTTTCTACTTCTTTATATGTGTCCAGTGTGTCCTTGTATCTCTCTACTTCTTTATATGAGTGCAGATCAATACACTGTCTATTGTTTTATTGTGGAAATAATATTGCTAGGGCCTCAATGGTTTCTCCTCTGTTTATTAAAGTTGACGCACCTCTCTTTTTATCTCAGTCTGTGGTGGCGATGTTGTTGCGTCTATCTGTTGCTATTTGTTTCCAGTATTCCTTCTCTTCTGCCTTTCTACCCCCCAATGGAGCACAGGCCCTCAACCAACTCATGCCAAGTCGCTCTATTCTTCGCTATTGCATGAAGCTCACCCACGTCCTCCCCATTTTTCTAACTTCATTCTCCAGTTCTCTTCTCCATGGTTTTTTTTTTTTTTTGGTGGGATTTCTTTATTCCTATGCTCCGGTGGGTTCCAAGGCAAAGACATTCTAGTTATGATGTTCTCCTGTTTTCTCAATGTGTGTCCTATCCAACGCCAGCGTCTTTTCCTCACTTCTTGGTTCACTAGCGCTTATTTTGTATTCGTTACAAATAATTCTGATATCCTTTATTTTTCATGTTGCCCCCTGTCAAAGACCTTCTTGTAATCTATGAAACATGCATTCATACTTATCTGGACTTCTACATATTTTTCCGTCAGTATCTTGAAACAAAATATGGCCTCCCTAATGCCTTATTATTTTTTTTTTACTTTGAATTGTTTCTTGGATGATCTTGAGAAGTAATTTAGTTATAAGGCTCAACAAACTAATTGTTCCAGAATTTTCACGCTCAGCAGCTTTTGATTTGTTGGAAAGTTTGATGAAAATATCATCATCGTGTACCCTGCCAACTGGCGTAGGCGCTCATGCGTCTCCACAGAATACGATCCCTGGTTGTCTGGAACAGCTCTCTTGATGATATCGCTCCATGCCATCGTTTTTGCCCATCCAGCATCATCTCTCTTGTCTACCTCTACCCCTTTTTTCCATTGATCTTTCCAGTTGTCACGATGTTCTTAAGTTTCTCTCTTCTCATTATGTGGCCAAAGAACAGTGTTGTCTCTTTCTTATTGTGGTATATAGAGATCTACTTTCATTAGCATCTTTCAAGCAATCGTTGTTAGTTACTCTGGCCGTCCAAGGTATTCATAACATTCGTACCAGAAATCACATCTCTCTTGCTTCAAAATTCTTTCTTATTTGTTCACTGACATTCCAAGATTCGCTGCCATACAGCAGAACAGGTTCTTTGTAACATTTTAGCACCGTCTTTGATGAAAAAATACGTTTTCATAACCTTTGAAGTGTAGCCAGCATTATTAAATATCATTACACATTTCATTGATGTTTTCAACGCCAAAGCTGGATAAGGATTTTATCATTTCCGTTGTTATTTTCTTCGCATCTGCGGCTTTTCTCTTCTTTATTTGATATAGCGGTTCCCCTGAAATCAAACGCTTAACAATTTGAACACTTTGGAATCCGATTGAAATTTTCAAGTATACTTTGCCTTGGAAGTTGATCGCCTCCTTGGAAACCAAACACCTGCCACATGCCAGTCACACACTACCACACAGCGCCGCTGAGGATTCCGGTTTCTTTTGTTTTTTAAAACGCTTTGCTCAGATCGTCGCTCCTTGATTCCTTGCTTCCTTGGAATGTGTGCATTTCTGATGTTTATTATTCAACGTCTTCTTTTCCCCATTCCCAGAATGCCTCACGGTGTCATGGTAGGAAGAGATCTCTAGAACTGGCCCTTCTGTTCCTTTTGAACTTTTTAGTGTCCCTGATATTTTTCGGTCCATTTCCTGTGTGGTCGACCTCTGGTTCTGTTACCGTTGTACCTGTATAATACTGCTTTCTGTGTTGCCTTGAATATTGAATGTTGAATTAAGAATAGACATCAAAGCACTCGGAACACTCCTATAAGGGCTCTGTTCCCGTCTTCAGCAGCAAGCGAAGAGTTCCATTTCCGATTGCATCAGTAACTGTCTGATTGTATTATCTGTCTCTCCCTTTTCCTGAGTGTTGAGCGTCGGCCAGATGCTCTGGTAACTCCTCGCAGCGTCGTTCTCACCAGACCGTAATGATCTATCTGTGTCTCCGCACAGAACCCTCACAATAGCTAGCTTGCCATTCATAAATTAACCACCAAGTGGTGCAGAGCCGTCTGGTCTATCTATCTGCTCGTTTCCCAACACACCGTTATAACCTGGAGAAAATATTAAGAGGTCGTTAACTACCCTGGACCTCTGACCTGATGCTTGCCACTCTGCACGGAGCAAGCTTGCTTCCACCTTTCTCAACATGCTCTACGAGTCAGTTACAATCACAGCATGTGTTTACAGATGGTTATGGTGTGTATTTGATGCCCTATCTGTTGCAAATGTTTATTATTATTATTATTATTATGCAACGCTTGGTGAATTAGTTCTGACTGATAACAAGTTAGAGTGGAAATACAAAGTAAGAAAAAAACTGTTAGAGCAACAATTGCCATTAAAAACGATCGCATCACTGAGCATGATCGTGGTATCTGTGTATGTGGATTTGATACGATGTTTGATATTCCCAAACTGACCATGCAGCAGAATAATTTAGTTTCTGTTATTTTTAATAGGGAAAAAAGTTGCTTTGGAACTGGAAAGATTTGCAATTCAATCGCTGTCTCGGAATGGATTATGTTCGAATCCTGAATGGCCGCTTATTTTCAAGAATCCGATTGTTGCCATAATTGTCTTTATGTAACTCCTAAGTTAAGTAAATATAAATAATCCTTTTTACTCGTTAGGTGCATCGGACATATGGGAAGAACACCCATATTTTTACAGACCAATCGGCACTAGGTGGGTAATGTGGTCAGCATGACGCCGGCCGTCTTTACTTCCCCAGGATATTCATTCTAGTACTTATTTTAGGCTGGGTCGACCTGCGACGCCCTATACCGTGATAAAAATGCCCGCAGCCAGCAGTGGGTTTCGATCGCGGTACGTTGGAATTACGAGTCGGACTCGCAATGCCTAAGCCACGGACGCCGCATGTAACTCTTAAGTGATCGCATTTTTGTAAAAATATGAATATCTCTTGTGTTGTTTAAAAAACATATATAATTTTCACGGGAGTTAACCCACAGCTTGTATTGTCCTACAGATTGCAGAACAACGCATCAAAGACGTCACAATTCAGTTTATCTCAGAGATACGCAACAAGGAGAAATCCCTTATCGATGAACTTCACGCCATCTATGGACCCGAACTCATGGAATATGTCAACAGAAAGAATGAAATGCAGAGCAACTTGGACAGCCTCAAGACCACATGTAATCTCACCGAATTGGTGCTCAAAGGAAAAGATATTGAGCTGTTGCTTCTGAAGAAACAAGTGCAGGAAAAGTTGTCCACACTGGCAACTGTGGAATTGAAGGACCTACCTCAGACTGTTGGTAAACAGATTTATTTCGTTCCGGGCAGTCTGAATTTGGGCAAGCTTGAAGATCCCGATTTGGAGATTGATAAAAAGAAAGCGGTACAAAATGCGGAAGATAGTCAGAAGATCACTCTACCGAACATGGTATTTGGTCGAAAAGGTAATGAACTTGATATTATGACAGCGGCCGCAAAGGTGGTACAAAAACGGACTTTCGAAACACAGACAGAGAATCAGTCTCCAAAACTGGCAGCGACAGTAAATCTAGTTGACAAGGGTATGGTCACAGAGTATCCCGAAAGATATGACAGTGAGGATTCGTCATTTTGTGGCAATGATGGGCCCTTTAGTCTAGAGACAAGAGCAACAGAGACTGATGTTATCTCTACGACGGAAAAAGCTGTGAACACACCTTCCAAAAGCGTGCAAGGGCTAGCCAGCCAGCTTCAGCACGCCGATTCCAAAGATGAATCCCCTACAGAGGCTGGTACGGGTATGGAGTCTCCAGCCACTCGAAGGCAGCGTCGGCGTCGGGAAAGGGTCAAGCCGGCAGAGCCCATGGCTGGTGGAAACAATGCCGGGTATGTTTTATCTATTCCGTATCTTCTGCTTCATCATTATTTTAGGTATTCCGTGCCTTGAGATTTATTGCTGCAGTTCTAGCTCACCTCTGTTCATCGTTGTGACTGGCCCTTTTCTTTCCATTTGGTGACTCTTATATGTTTGTAGGCTTTATTGTACCAGATATGACGCGCGTATCTATGCACTATCTTTGCGGTCTGCCTCATTGAGTACTCTCATTAAACTCTGTTATGTATGCATTTTTGTCTTTCTGCCATTGTCTGTATATGTCTCAAACATAGTAGGACACACAACACAAATACCAACAGCTTTTTGTTCTTCTTCTACCCTTTATTCCCCAAATGGAGCACAGACAGGCAACCAACTCATGTCAAGTCGTTCTATTCATTGGCTGTTGCATGCAGCGCACCTCATGCCTTGCCCATACTTTTAACATCCTCTATTTTTTTTAAACCATCATTTATATGCCCCTGCAGGTTCCAGTCTAAAGCCCTTCTAGTTTTCATGTTCACATGTATGTGTGTGTGTGTTTTTTTTTTTTTCAAACTTGTGTCCTTGTCAAAGCTAGTTGTTTTTTCACCTCTTTATTCAGTTACAACCGATAGACAGATGTCTGTCTGACTGAGTTACTGGCTGATGGCCGGATGCACTAGCTGTCTGACTTACTGAAAGACAATTGAACAGGCTGACTAAGTGACTGAGTGACTGAGGAAATAATAGATTGACTGTTGAGAAACTGATTGATTCACAGCACCGACTATCTGACTGACTGAACGACGGATGGGTGATTTCTCTAACAGATTGACTGACTGACTTACTTAAACACTGTATATGCTTACCGGCTAACTTGATTCCGAGCATCTAATAAAATATGTGTACTTGAATTTTGGGGAGAGCAGCCGTGATGTAGCGGCTAGAGGCTCACTTGCGGATTTAAAGGTCGTGGGTTCAGATCCTGCTGGAGCCAGATCTTGTCTCTAGGGTCGACCCAGCATTACAAGGGTACTAGGAAATGTCCTAGGAAGTAAAGGCAGTCGACTTTAGGTTGACCACATCACCCACAGTACCAATTAGTCTATAAAATAGTTCTAGTCCCATTGCCTAATACAAGAAGTTCTTGAGGGGTAGAAAAGGGTCCTCTACTTACTAGAGTAGAGATATCTTGTGTAGTTTGTTTCTTTGAAAACTTTGTACTTGCGTCAAAGGCTCTGTGCTCCGCTCAATTAACTTTTCCTTTATCTATTAGTCAGTGTGTTGGGAAATGAGCAGGCAGATAGACTGGCCGGTTCTGCACCACTTGGTGGTGAGAAACTGATGTATGGCAAGCTCGATGATGTGAGGGCCTTTTGGGAGCGAGTGAACAGTGCCCAGGAACAGATAGATTCATTACGGTCTGAGAAGAATGGCGCTGCGAGGAGTTACAAGGGGATCTGACCGACACTTGACTCTCAGGGAAAAGGTGAGACGGATATACAATCAGACAGTTACTGGTACCATCGGAATTTTAACTCTTTGCTTGTTGCTGAAGATGGGAACGGAGCGCTTATGGGAGAGCCCCGAGTTCTATGCTGTCAATTCCTAATTCAACATTCAACATTAACCAATTAAAGTTGCTGTGTTTTGCTCTTATTTTTTTATTTATTCTTTTAGTTAAATTTGTTTTCGAACAACCCTAATAGTTAAATTTAAAGTTTGTGTACTTTTGCTTCCCCAGGGTTGTATAGTCGCATATGAGCATTTCGAATGACATGACCCTTGAGTATGAAAAAGGTAAACTTTCTGTGGTCATGTTGTATGTCTAACCAGTGTTTCGTTAAGTTGATTACTCGCGTGGACTTCGGGATCCCATTTTGGAGTGACACAATGAGGACCCAATTATCCCAAAAGAGCGTGGCTTTAGACTTCTCATGATCTTATGGTTATTTTTGAAAAAGTGTCCGAAGCACTTTCGTCTAGAAAGACGGACATGTGCTAGTTTTAATTTTGCATAGTACACATTTTCTTCGACTAACGACCGACGCGACTTGCGACGATTCGCATTTATGACCACCAGATAAAAAAAAAAAATAATAAACCACGAAAAAAAAAAGATAACTACAATGGGGTGATCGAAAAAGACCTCGAACTGATGCAGCAAAATTCATATTATGTATTCTCCCTCATTATGTACAATATTTATACATACATCGATTAAATCTGTATGTTTATGTACACTTGTATAACCTATTTGAAAGAAAATAGTGTTAAGTAAAAAAAATTTTTTTACTTACGGCTGGTCCGATTACGATCTGTGAGTCGGAACAGAACTCTGTCGTAATTCAAAATAGAACTCGGGCATAAGCCGGAACGGAACTCCGTCGTAAGTCGTCGAGATCCTATATACTGCTAGAACACATAAATGTTTGGTGGGGGCAGCGTAGTCTAGAGGTTTGGTGTCCGCCTCGAATGATAGAGGTCCCTGGTTCAGGCCCTTGTGAACGCTGGGATTTGTTTCTGTTCACGTGGACTTCTAGTAATTTCCCCTAGTCTCTGGGTAGTGATATTGGGCGCCCGTGTGTGTTGTTGGGCACGTGAAGAATCCTTTGGCAGTTGGCAATCAAAAAGAGTAGCCTGACGGCGCTGGCCGGGCAAAATTTTGAGTTAAAAATCCAAAATATTTCAGGATCCTCGCTGGTGCTACAGAGCCCGTGCACTGTGCTGAGCTAATTCGGACTCAAACTGAGTTAGAAGTAGAACGAAGCACTTATGGGTTACTACCCGTGTGTCATGATGTTGATTTGTTGTTGAAACCTAAACTCCCCCCCCCCCCTTTTTCCACCTAATAATTGTTTTGTAAGTTGATTTCTGATAATTTTGGAAACTGAATTTTTTTCCCCAAGCCCATATGCTCAAGATAAGAAAAGAAAACCATCTAATCGGAGTAGTAACACACTGGGAACACAATACCGTCTGCCATCAAAAATGGCCACACGATACATCTGACATTATGACAAACTTCTTCTTCTTCTTCTTCTTCTTCTTCTTCTTCTTCTTCTTCTTCTTCTTCTTCTTCTTCTTCTTCTTCTTCTTCTTCTTCTTCGTCTCTTCCATCTTGTACCTCAGCGAAGTGTCGAGCGGATATGTAACATTAGTTGATGAGCTCTGTCAAGAGCACTAAGATTGATTTTCATTTCTGTAAGGCAGTTCTTATTGCCATCACTCCATGTTTTCCGACGTCTTCCGCTCGCTATACCCGTTGTGACGTTTTAGTGTGACTCGCTGTGTCAGATAGTACCAGGGCATTCTTGATAGGTGTCCAAACCACTTCATTTTTTTTTTTTTTTTTCATTTTATGATGACCTGTAAGACTTGCTTTATTCCTAGCATTCGTCTGATTTCGTGATTTCGTATTCTGTCTTTCCATGAAACTCCTGCAGCTTCTCAAAGGCATTTTATCTTTGTTGTCACAATTTCACGTTCATTAGAGGATTGGCACCGATAGCATAGTGTTAGGCAAAAAATATTTCTGCTAATATTCACTTTAGTACTCCGGAATATCTGCTTGTGTGTCAACAGGGAAGATAGTTGCCCCATTACTTGATTAGCTTTCGCTACGCAACAGCAGGAGGCAGGAAACAACACATTACTCCTCTCTGCGACGGGTTTGCGGCATAGACAGGACAAAAGTAGAAGAAGAAAAAGAAGAAGAGTTTTGACAATGTACCACTGGATCTATGCGATTTTATTTGGGGGGGGGGGGGGGGGGGGGGGATAGACAGAAGGATAAATGATTTTTGGCTCTACTGGCAAAGGACGAAGAATAAACAGACTTGGACGAGAGAGTTATCTCCCGTCGCCGCACTCCGAACAGTAATCGGAAAACAAACGAAACAAACGACACACTTACCTATCATCCTGCGGTTGCGTGTAGGGCTGCGTACGGTTGCGTGAGACATCGTGGCATCATCATATGGCTGCGTGCACAGTTGCGTACGGTTGCGTGAGGCACTGTGAATGGTTGGTGTAGTATCATGCGGTTGTTTGATTAGAGTTAGGGGTAGGGTTAGGGATAGGGGTAGGGTTAGGGGTAGGGGTAGGGTAGGGTTAGATGTAAAAATTTTGACGTAGGATTTCGAATACTGGCCAACACTATGATGTTTGTGGGAGTGGCGCCACTGAAACTCTGCCAAATATGACGCCAATAGCGTGCGGCTGGTGCCCCCAATCGTTGGCGAATTGTGCGTGTGACCAGCATCCAGAGGCCCTCGATTGTTTGTGTGTGTGTATGGGACTGTGCGCGATTATAGGAAACTCCGGCGTCAAAAATTGTCAAATCTAACGCTAATCCTAACCCTACCGCTAACCCTAATCCTATCCTACTCCCTAACCCTAACCCCTACCCCCCTAACCACGCAAATTTATCGATCATTAAAGCATACAAATCGGCAAACACGAAGAAACAAAACACACCCAAAAAAACAACAACCCAGAATTGTCCTGCAGCGTTCTGGGGGAAACAACCAAGCATTGGCAGCCCTGATGTCGACGTGACTGTCCATCACTGTTTGGAGTGCGGCGACGGGAGATAACTCTGACTAAGTCGTCCAAGTCTGTTTATTCTTCGTCCGGATTTGCCAGTAGAGCCTGATTTTTGATAATGTACCAGTTAATAATATGATTTTTGATAATATACCATTTGATAGTACACTTTTTGATAATGTACCACTTGATAATATAATTTTTGATGAAGTACCAGTTGATAATATAATTTTTGATGATGTACCACTTGATAATATAATTGTTGATAATGTACCAGTTGATAATATAATATTTGATGAAGTACCAGTTGATAATATAATATTTGATGATGTACCAGTTAATAATATAATATTTGATGAAGTACCAGTTGATAATATAATATTTGATGATGTACCAATTGATAATATAATTGTCGATAATATAACATTTAATAGTATATTTTTTATAATGCACCATTTGATGATATAATTTTTCGATGTACCACTTCTGGCTATGCACTGTTTGTTTGAGAATTTATCATTTAAAGCATTGTTTTGAAAGAAGCGGGTGCTCGAAGACAACTTCTCACAAACATCAGAAAGAGACAGACATGATATTAGAAGAAGGAAAATGAAACATGTTGTGACCACCAGAAAGATCTGTGGAAAGAGAGGCAGGGGAAGACATCGCGAGGAGATTTTTGAGTCTTTTGTCATGGCATGGAGGGGTGTCAACACACAAATTGATACACGTATTTGCGGATCGAAAATTGTGGAGAGGCATGATCGCTAAGGCTAGTAAGCAAGGCACATGATGATAAGAAGATGATTCGATAATATAATTTTTGAGAATGTTCTAGTCGATAATAAAAACTTTAATAACATACCATTTGATAATACACATTTTAATAATGTACCATTTGATAATATAATTTTTGAGAATGTTCCATTTGATAATATTCCATTTGATAATAGCAGTCTTATTAATGTACTATTTAATCATATATATATATATTTTATAAATTTTTTTTTTTTTTCCAGGAAAGCCGTTGTCCACCAGGAGGTTGTCAGGAAAGCAAGTAGAGCTCATTAACTTAATCTTTCACTGCTTTCGACGCATACAGAAATAAACAATAATCCGCATAGTTAGTATGTTGTTAGCTTATATTTTATACACATTAATATGTTTATGTGTTCAAGTAGGAATCATCAGTCGCGTCGTCGTTATCATCCTCGTGATCACGCTCATCATTGTCGTCGTCGCAGTCTTCGTCAGTATCGTCATCATCATCATCATGTGTTTAGTTCATGAGGTGTTGATTCACCGTCTAACATGGTCATCAGAATCGTTGTTCGGGCTTATTGTCTCAAATGGTCAACGAATGTGAAGAAAAATAATTTTTAAAATATATTCAGCCTCAAGGTTTGAACATTTGAACAACGGATCAACATCATGGCACACTGATAGTAACCCTTGACTGCTGTTCTACTCCTACCTCAAGTTTGAGTCCGAAGTAGCTCAGCGCTGTACTTTTCACTGTCCATAATGGACTGTCCATAATTAATTGCTGTATGACTGTCCATAATGGACCATTCTACCATTGTCGATAATGGACGGCTGTACCTCTGTCCAAAATAGTCTACTGTACCATTGTCGATATTGGACGGCTGTAACTCTGTCAACGATAGGCTACTCTACTATTGTTCATAATGGGCTACTGTACCATTGTTCATAATAGACTACTGTACCATTGTTCATAATAGACTACTGTACCATTGTTCATCATGGGCTACTGAACCATTGTCGATAATGGACGACTGTAACTCTGTCCATGATAGAATACTGTACCATTGTCCATAATGGGCTTCTGTACCATTGTTCATAAAGGCCTTCAGAACCAGTGTTCATAATAGACTACTGTTCCATTGTTCATAATGGGCTACTGTACTATATTTCATAAGGGCTACTGTACAATTTTTTCATAATAGACTACTGTACCATTGTTCATAACATACTGCTGTGCCGTTGTTCATATTGGACTATACCATTTCTCATAATGGGCTACTGTACCATTGTCTATGATTGGCTACTGCACTATTGTTTATAATGGGCTACTCTACCATTGTTCATAATGGGTCACTGTACCATTATTCATAATAGACTACTGTATCATAGTTCATAAAAGACTACTGTACCATATTTCATAATGTGCTACTGTACCATTGCC